GAATACTTCAGTAGCGAGATGGCTCAACTGAAAGTAAGTCTCTAGGGACTATTAGCGTTTCCTAGTTTGCCCCTGAACGGTCAACCAGATCGCCAGTCTGATGATGGCAAGTTGACCATCCTTGATAAGTGGCAAGTTATTGGCTAATGCAATATGAACTAGTGACATCATGAGTATTAACTCTATTCTTTTCGTACCTTTAATTTTTTCTAAAGCAAGAATTCTTGTAGGCGACAAAACTAATAATAATAGTTTCGCCAGACGGACGACAAAAACAAATAAAGTCTTTTCGGCGAAATCAGTACTGGGAGGATTGTATATAGACAATGTCTCAGCCCTCAATTATCCCAGAGTACTGCTAATATCACGAGATAAACTTGACTTTATATACCGACTACTCCCGTACGAGACTTTGACTGATATCAACTAATTTACAGCTTTAAGACACTTATATAGTCTCGATTAGAAAGAAGTTTACACATTTCAAAGTTTGGAAAAATATTATCTACTTTAGCTGCTTAAGCATAAAAAGCCCTCAATAAATAAGAATTCCAATACTTAAGATGACGAAGTGTTTCAAGATTTATACTCCTTCAAAGGGACATAAATCTGAGAAGAAGATGATGAACAAGGACACCGCCGCTGCAGCTACTGTTGCCGCCGAAGCGAACAAGACAGTTGCCGAGGGGATCGTTGCAAGCAAGATCGCCAGGAAAGCACTTGGGATAATACAGGAGGAGACTACTCCAGTAAGAGAGAATTCTCCTGATAAAGCTACTATCCACGAATCCGCGAAACGAGACCAGGGGTCTTTAAACAACACTTACTGTGACGAGGATACTCAGAAGTAAATATATAGGCGGTATTAACGTCTTAAGCTGAAACGTATTGAAATTGTCTTTGTTTTCAATAAAGTACACAAAAGTAGTGAGGAATGTAGTGGTATGCCTCGTGAAAATCAGCGATGCTGGGGGATTAGAAGGCTGAGACATTACCGATATACAATCCTCCAGTACTGATTTCGTCGAAGGGCATTATTATGTTTTCGTCGAAGGGCATTATTATGTTTTCGTCGTTGCGCTGGCGAACCTATTATTATTTGTTTCGCCGCCTTAAAAAAAAGTAACTTATTATTATTCCTGCTTTCTGTGTCATGCTATCGAAACTATAATTGTTGTTTCGTTGCTCGAATAAGAGGACTAACAAAATAATATCTCGAAAAGAAGTTATAGAAAAATACTCTCGACGTATTTCTTTGTGTCAATAAATTTCTACGTATCAAGGACTACCGGTTTGCTCTCATCAGACTTATAGGGTTTTCTGAGAATCACATCAACTTGAAACCTTCTAAGTACATACTTTCCAATAGCAATTTCATCATGAAATCCCCACAGGTCACTGCGCCTGACCCTCAGAAGCAAACCACCCTCACCCCTATATCGAGGCACGACATACTAAGTGCAGTAGCCACGATCTCCCAACTACTGTCTTCGACTTCAAACAATCATACCATTCTGACAAAGCTCTTTACCGACAAAGAATTTTCTTAGTCAGGAATACGCAAAACCAAGAAATACCCCATCGGCCCTTTCTGGAAAACCCCTAGTCCGGCACCAAAATCTCGCCTGCAAAGACTAGATGACAATAAACCCGAAATGACTAGATGACAACTAAGTAAAGACCAAAGCTCCATACTACAAACTTACGACAAGAACAAGACTGTCCCCGAAATCAAACAAGTTCTATAAAACATACCGGAGCCACGCAAAGCCCCAAATATCAACTTACAGCTACTAGGAGTAGGTAACCCCACAATCGAAGTGATAGTACGAGATTGTGATACATTAAAATCCCTAAAACACCTCAAGTAGCACTCGTATTCAAAATGCTACGCTGGCAACGTAACGACAACGCACACCCGAAACAACTAAATGTACAACGTAGTAAACAACTAGGTTTCGCCCGTCTAACATACACGAATGCTTGTGACAGCCGTTCCTAGAGGGGCACCAGCAATCGTACTAAGCAGCATCTTCTCCCTACGAAGTCCCATTGACACATTAAATCTGGACAAAGAATTAGATCAAAACCTGTCCCCTTACGGAATATCATTAAATATTCTTGAATTAAACATGTTTTTAATAATAATATCATCGATACTCAGAGTATCTCGTCTCCAGAGCATCTTTCCAAGACCCAATCAGTCCTAAGTTCGGCCAACCAAACAGAGGCGATCACACCCGAGAATCAAGCGGAACCTCTCACTACTGATCCAGAAATAACAAACACTGATTCTACGGTAATAACACCCAACCAAGGTAATAATGCTGTACCTTCGCAAAATATCATAATAATAACTCCCGCGCAAACAAAGACGCTAATTTCAATCCCGTACAAATTCGTAAGTCGCACAAAAACAACAAACGAAGAGCACGTTCACCACAGATACAGAAGATACCCCCAAAACAAACAAATACTAACTCAAATTGGAAGAGTGATTCTAAAATTATCGACTTACAGCCTTCAGAACCCAATTTCAGTACACCAAAAACATTACCCATGGACACAGATTCCTCTACGAGTATGCAGATAATTTCTACCGATACGATGACACCCGCAGCATAGCAAAATGTGTACGCTCTCCAGGCTTTCCGAGCACCTTAAATCACTCGAAAAAGAAACATGAAGCAGCCAGCGAACACATAAACTACGAATGGGTTAACTGCTAGCAAAGGAAGTTGATGTATTATTTTGCACTAGATTCTGGTATAGTAACGATGTATACTGTAGATTCCAAAATTCATAAAGCATACACGTCATCTGACGTTCTCCTCTACTGATCTTACATCCGAAGGATGCAGGAGTGCTGATGCTCAACAGACGTTACCCAACTCTCTTCACAAATATATCATTGTACTCGTATTTCCTCTTCACTTTCAAAATCTAAAGTGTCCTAGTAGGTACACTCCACCTACCACTTCTTCTTCACAGGCAGAAGTAGCGAATATTTTCTCAGTTATAGACCACTCGATACCGCTGATACTTGGTGGAGATTTCAACATTACAATCCCAATGAACAACACTTGAACGTGACCCACAAAAACAATCTCTAGACTGAACACCGTAATATCATGGATAAGAAAGTTGCAATTACACCATTATACAGGTCCCAGCCGTCCGCAAAATACAAACGATCACTTCTATTCAAACATCCCGTCACTTCGAACCACATACCACAAAAAAAAGGCCAATAGGCATGCATTTTGACCATCATGTGTCCTCAATACATCCTATACCTACTCCAAACTAAAAGCTTTTGTAGCATCTAGGGGTCAGATTATCAAAAAGCCAACCTAAATCCCAAAACCTCAGAATCACCAAAAATTGAGTTTTAGAATTAGGATTCATATATATCTGATATTAGCAGAAATATCAGCGGTAGAACCGGTAAGCTATACCAGGACAAAAGACTCAGTTTGGTTCTTTCAGACTAGGGACCTTTCCTAGCTGAGATAACCGTGCTTGAGAAGAGGTCTATTGTAATCTTTAGCTCGTACCTTTCAGTTGCTCTCCGTACTCTACATTTTTATAAAATCTTCACTTTTAGAACAAAAGGAATAACGAGTGAAGTATACTGCCATGAGTCTCGAAGAAACTTTATTTTAAGAAGAGACACAAGAAGGGGCCCCAACCAGGAAAGCCCCAACTAGGACACCAAGAAGACTCTAACCCCAGAAGGGAAGGAATACAGGTGAATTTTAACCACAGGAGGTTAGCAGGTATTGGGAGCAAATAACCTAACAAGAAGTCAGTCGAGGAAATGAAGTCTGAGCCACTCCTCGATAACAGACACCGAGGTAGAACAAACAAGGTATCAGTATCGTGTTTAAGCGTGGTGTACTTAATAACCAAGGTAAATATATTGTGCTACAATGTAGGGTTGTCAAGTATAGAGATGAGAACAATTAAGTGGCAAGGTCAAGGTGCAAACCAGTGAAAATTTATAAGCTGTCACAGTGATTGATGTATCAATGTTGGGGATTTTCAAACACATCCTGACGTCAGGACCCCAAAAAGCACATCACCCCACTTCACTATAGTCCCTCTAGACAAGTAGCAATAGCACAGTACACGGTACGCAGAATAATCAGAAACTGAATAGAACAGTGCATAGAAGGCATTCAATTACACACCAACAAACATTGTTGAAAGGGTATAAGACCTCAAACACACAAAATCGAAGTGCATTCTAGAGTATTTAGCTAGTGCAGTGCATGCGCTTAGGTGAAAAGTCACCCTAACTAAACCCTAAACCCTAAAAACCCTAATATATATATATATAGTATACTATGCAACCAGCAGTGCCGCCTGCAGCATAATTAATCACTGTCACTCAGATGATTGAGCATCGTATATGCTAGTACATTGTGTAAGCAATACTGAGAGTAGCCTTACTCTTCTTTCGACTGATTGGAAGGCCTGTAACTGACGGACCTCATTTCAAAGTGTATTGACTGAAGTCAACCTACACATAGGTAATGTCGTCATAAGAAAACCTTATACGTCACCGCCAGTATCGACCCCGCCACCAGTCGAGGTGCCGTCGCGTCATGTAACATATATCTGAAAAATTTGTGATATTTCCCAAATTTGTTCTAAAGTCGTTCTGTTAGTGTCCGCCGTATGCGTTGAATATCCGTGAGCTGTGATGACGACGCTTATTGACGTCCTTGGAAAATTTACATCAAAGCCAGCAAATCTCTGTTGGTGCCCAAGCAATCTCTTCCACCTGTGACAGGTTGAATATGTGTCCAAGCAATCACTTCCACCTTGGACAAGTTTCATATCCGATTAAACTTGAACCTTTTATACGATCGACATATGTCGTCCTTAAATTCCAAGTCAGCTCTGTACCAGTTCTACCCAATACTAGCTTGTAGTGTTTTCCTTTAGCCACCAGCATATATTTTAGCTGAATTAATCACATCCACAAGCTCCTGTACAGTGATGGCTGGCTCAGCCCTAGGTGGACAAAAATATGAAGCTGTCCCATGCATATAGCTGGTAAGTTCAGAACTTGTAGAATCCGATCGGCATCTGACATAATTTGTCTGAGTCCCTCTCAATCGTATGATCCGTATCCGTCCAGACTGTATAATTGCCTTAAGACGAGTCAGCCCATATACGAAAAAATCCGATTTTATTTTGACTTAGTAGCCGAAATAGGAAAATAACCTCCATAGCGTTTTGCACATGTGTCATCAGCCCTAAGTTGTCGCTCCGCTTGATAACCCCTTTCATATGCTGTATGGTCTTATCCAACGCGGAAATCGATTGTTGAGTCTCAGATAATACAATGGTCTAACATAGTATAGACCTCTGCTTTAGTATTTCATCCGGTATTGAATCAGAGGAGAATTATGTCGCCACCTCTTCAGTATATAGTGGCGACTGCAGATGAATTCCAAGCAGTTGTTTCAACAATCGAACACAGGCTTTTTTTGTTCACGTAGTAACTTCATATATCGTGTAATAAAAAATTACATAACTAAATAATTTTAGTTAGCTTAATTTGTGAAAAGCGTAATGTAATAAATACAGTAGTTCGGTCACTTAAAAATGTGGTCAAAACCAAGTATCACTTAATAAAGAGTGTTAAGTCTGAAAAAAGTGAACTCAGTCAGAAGCAGCGGTAGCGGCTTCTCTCTCCATCTTCTTCTTTTCAGCTCTACGCTTCTTAGAAGGAGGATTGTCTTTCTTGGTCATAATCTTGACTTATGGCTACTAGCTTGTCTCTTCAGGACTAGTTGGGACAAAAAAACTTTTGGGGTAGTTAATCTACCTTTACGCTTAAGTAGTCTAAGTAATTAATACCTTTGCTAACTTTAAAATGTGTAAGATTCGGTCTATTAAGACGATATTAACGCCTTAGAGTAAATAAACGCATAGGTAAATTCTATGTATCGTGAAAATATCAAAGTAAATAAACTAAATGAGACTTTTAGTAAAGTTAGGTATGCCTCGTGAAAACAGCAATACTCTAAGGGATTGTGAGACTGAGACATTGCCTATATATAAACCTCTCAGTACTTTTGCCACCGAAGGGATTTTATTTAGTGTATCTTTGTCGCTCTATTAGAAACTATGGTATGTTTCATTGAGGCGAATCTGAGAGACTCATAAAATCCTATCTTTAGAAAAAAGAAATAAGAAAATCTTCTGATGTCCTTAGTTATTGTCTTAACCAATAACTTGCCACTTATCAAGAATTACCGACTTAACCTTCATCAGACTGGCACATCTGGTTGGCTGATCGGAGGATCAACTAGGCAACGTTAATAGTCTCTAGAAACCTATATTCGGTTGAGCCATCTCGCAACCGAAGTATTCAGATATAAATAAAGTTGCATAGTAAATATAGTTCTGGGGCCTTTTAATGGCATCGTCCAAATATCTGATATGTAAAATGGAAAAGATATTAATTAATAAAACCATTAAAAACCATTTAGGAAACTTAAGTTCCTCGTACTATTCAGAGCCTAACACAGAATCTACCATGGGAACTCATGCCTGATGTCCTTGACAAAGTCATTAAAGAGGTAACCAGCATCACGATATATGTACCGTAATACCCCGATGCAAGGTGGTTTCCATTTTTTTTGTCTTTTCTAGAAGAAGATCCGATGCTAGTGGAAAATATAAACAACAATTTCCTCAAGGAAAACACGAAAGTATGTGGCAAGATCCCATTGGGCGTCACTTTAGTAGCTAAGATAGAAATGAAGGCTCCATACTTTGACTCAACACGAGAATAACCCGTCATACACGTTTCAGCATCGCAACCAGTTTACTTTGGAGATTTATCACATGAAATCAAATACGAGACACGTGTCAACATCATCGAACAATACCAAAACTTGGGACATTTCACTACTGAGGAAATGACAAACACGTTACAAGCAGATGGACGCGATTGGCTAAAAACCCAACAACATGTTCACAAGTACATCAAAGGATACGTACCATGTCTCAAAAATAGGATACTCATTAAGGTATTTCATCCCTTACAATCAATCACAGCCGCATCCCCAGGCGACAAGGTCCAAGTGGACAAATTGGGCCATTACTGGACTCAAAAAAGAAGACACACATATGTTTTAGTATGGTTAGATGTGCACTCATCATATGTCATACTCAGACCAATGACAACTAAATCAGCGGCTACTGTAGTACGACACTGGCACCAATCATGTGCGAACATGAGTTCCAACAAATCATACAGACCGACCAAGGCACTGAATATGCTAGCGACATACTTTCAAAAGTCATTGAACAAGCGCCGACACAACACTTAGCCTCCTGCCCATACCAACCTTAAGTTTTTGGTGCGAACATGCGATCGCATAGAGATGTTACGAAATTCGTCGAACAAAACCCAGGCAACTGGTGTCCACGACTTCCCTTCGTACAAATGGGCCACAATCTGCGCACATGAAGAAGACATATATCATCAAGATCCAATTTGTACTTTGGTCACAAACAGAATCAACTCACGGACTACAACACAACAGTGAACGCACCCAGTATCATTGGAAGAGTGACTGCAGAATCTCTAGAGAAACACGAGTTATCAGTTATCACAAGGTGGTTTTTAGTTTTTTTTTGTTCAAGAAAAGTTGGTAATTTAAAAAAACAAAAAAACAAAACCAAAAAGCTAAAGACGCAGGGTTTTGAACTAAAAGCCTAAAAAACCCTACACGAAACTAGTCGGTCCTGTGATGTATATAAATATCATAAATATCCGTCTTTAGGTCGCTCTCCCACTAAATAAATAAATAGCTATCGTGTGTGGTTCTTAAATATTTATCTGGATCTCATACAAATACCAACTTTTTTTGGTTTAAAATTTATTACATTATGTATTAACTAACACATATGAACTATATGTGGGCGCTATGCAGTCTCAGCCTTTACATTCATTAGCGGATTCTTATACCGGCGAAGATGACAGTGACGCAGTCTTTGACTCGCACGTAAGGTCCAACCACCAGGCACAGGATGCTTTGTTTGGCCTTGCTCCTGCCCCATCGGAGAGTGATTTGGGCACAGCCGAACGCGTTGTTATTAATAGAAAGATACTGTCCCCACCGACATCTGTTGACTTAAGTGAGGACGTAGAGTCTGACGAAATAGAAGTCCGGTATCAGAATACAGATAGAGTTTCCCAGCGTACAACTTCAAGCTCTAGTTCGAGTTTGGACTTACAACCGAAAGCATGCGCCACTACAATATCGACTGCTGGTGTACAAAACCAGTCGCCAACGGAAATGTCGAGGGAGAATAGACCAGGAAATGGGGATCAACTGAACGGTATGTCAACACTGGCTAATACACATACCGCAAGCATGGATAGCATGCACAATGAATTGACAGATAACAAAGGCAAAAAAATATACCAGCAAGACTTCAGCACGGACATGCATGAAACTCGACCCACAATAGCACTCGTGCCGCCATCAAGAGACATCTTTGGTGAAGAGTACACAAGTGTGGAGAGCGAGAGTGAATCTGCTCCTAGTGAATATGTGGGGGAAGTCACTAGCTTGTCTGTGGGAACCTACACAGCAATGGACAGTGCGAGAAGGAAACAGGGAAAGCCAAGAAGCCGACGGCACAACAACACACAGGCTGAATACGAGGCACGTGCGGATGAACTGGCACGTGAACAAGCACGAATAAAGGGGAGAACAGACGAGAGAGATGATCGACGGCTGGACTTGAATGATAAGATCCTGCCAGTGGATAGTTTACCGAAGATTTCGTTTCAACAGCTCGAGGAGGACATACCAATGGCCTCGGGTAAAAGTAGACACAAATCGAAGAAGTCAGTTTCTCGACAGGGCAGTAAAAGCAGAACACCGACACCCAAGCAATCACCTCATTCCACAGTCTCACACGAACACCAGTTAAGAAGGCACGTACGCTCTCCCACATCACCACAGGTGCAGCAAAGTCATTCATCACATAGCAGGGACAATACTTCACACTCAGACGTCAGCCGATCGCCACACCATCCGCGCACTAGAACATCAAAACACAGCCCTCACAGACAAGCACGCAAGAGGCACAGTTCACATACACACAGCAAAGCGAGTTCCAAAACTTCTTCAGGTTCTTGCAGCGATGGTTCGAGGGCAAGCTCACACAACGAGGGAAACACTGCACCTGAAAGTATACCAATGGGCCGATTTCCACCCCCACGGCCGAAAAAAGGACCGTCACGCCCACCATCCATGTCTTCGTCTAGACCCAATGATGCAAGATTAGATAGTACTTACCCCACGGATGACAGGGCAGATAGAGTTGGACTGGAACCATACCACGCAGAGGTACTGCGGAGTAGGTCGCAAGGTCATAGGCGCGCGAGTACAGAGGACGCAAGTGTTGCGCAACTGAATCGAAGCAGAACAATAAGGGGCGATGAGGACAGGCAGGAAATACAGGCAATCAAAGCCGGGCAGATCAAAGCGAATGTACTTTGGGCGGAAGATACAGAGCCATACGAAGGTGTGTTGGCCAGTTGTTAAATGCTCTTACAGAGTAGTGTGTTATAATATACATATATATATATATATATAACAATATACATACATATATACATACATACATACATACACGTATACATACATACATAAATACATACATATACATACATATATATATATATATATATTTATATATATATATTACACATACACACACACACACACACACGCGCACACACACACACACTCACACACACACCCC